TCTTTGGAAGGTTGTTCCTGTCCCTGGTTCCTCGGTGCGGATGACTGAGGATTCTGTACGGGTCGCCCACTAAGTGAAGCCTGCTCTGATCCACTGTAAAGATCAGGTGTCTCTGGCACTCTAAAACTAGATGTGTCAGCTGTTGATGATTTCTCACGGTACAATCGGGACCTAGCATTCCTGGATGGCTGTAACCCTGGTGTCTGATACAACACTTGGCCCGTGGTAGGGTTTGTCCTGTTAGGGGGACCGCGTCAGCTAGACTCGGCTGGGTGCTGCTGCCTGTACCATTCATGTTGGGTCTCGCGGCATGTTCCCCAGAGCTTTCAAATTCTGGCTGGAGTGGGAGGTCTGGCTATCATCCCCTCTAACCTACTAAGGCTGGCGTTAATCTGGCCCATCTGGCCTCGAAACAGCCGCAGTAACTCTCTGGAAGATTATGTATTCCACTCTGTTTGGTCTACATTCGGGCTTGGGGTACCCGAGGAGTCGTCACTAGGCTGAGATGGCTTATCATCTTGTCGTGCCAGTAATGTGCTAGTTACTGCTGCCTTCGCAACTGGCATGGCCTGCTGAAGGTTATCACCCTCCACTGTACTCCAGGCCGTCCTACTCTACTGGGTAAAGTCTGAGCAGGGGGATTCCGCAAGTGAAATACCTTTCACAGCTTCCATCAGCGCCGCCATTCTAGGATATTTCAGTTCCTGGTCGTGGCTAGCCATCCCACCGCTGCCACCAAAAACGTGTAACGTGTAACGTGTGCAGGGTGTGCCCTAGTTGGTAGCGCTGGCAGAACAGGCCCCGAAACACGCAACGTTTCCCCTACCAGCGGCGATCCGATAAGTTTGGAAAAGGCTATTGGCTGACAGTCACAGCCCGGAAAGTAGGATATCGACTGTCTGGGTGCAGCCCCTCTCTAGATACTGGCAGGGTATGGCGGTCTAAGGCTCCAGCTTACAGCTGTGAAAAGTGAATCGGCCGATCCACGAACTATACAGAGTAGCCGTGCTTAATTATGTAAGAGGTGCATACGCTTATAATTCTGAAATAACTACTCCTAAATTATACCTAAAGGTTATCCAGTAATTAACAATTAACTATCTAAATGACCAACATAACAAGGGAAATAACTCTTACATATTATTAAAACAAGGTGCACAGAGGCATAACGTTACAATATGTTGGGGTGATATGGGTTGGGGCGAAATGTCGCACACCCGTATATATTGCAGCGTCGTTTTCATATTTTATGGTGTACCATGCAGGTAACCTGAAAGGAAAGTATGTAAAAAGTGGGAAATGGTGACTTTTGACCTCTGACCTTTGACCTACATATCAGCAACAAGTAAATTGTCTGTTTGGAATCTGTCGAGTATGGAGAGCACCAGATTAAAATATTAAGTTCTGCTGTTAATATGTACACATTTTAATAACATATTTTAATAACATTTGACCTTGACAATCAAGATTATAAGACTTTTTTCTATATGGGTATGTAGAATAGGAATATTCCACCCGAGGCTTGCCGAGGGTTTTTACCACATTTTGTGATCCCGAGGGTGGAATATCCCTATCCTACATACCCATATAGCAAAGAGTTTTTTTCTCTTATTTCTGATCTCATATCAAATATTTGCACTCACCTCGCGGTAGCCAGCACTGGACGCCGCCATTTTTCAGAATTCTATTTTTTTTTCTTGTGCCATATACATAAAAAAAATGATGAAATAGATTCTCCATCCCCGAATTTTGCAAACTACGTTTGCAGGCGAAAACATATTATGGACTGTGAATGCCAACGTCAGTGTTTCACTGTTTTTTCTTCAAGCGGGCTGGGTCAAATACCCTGTCAAATATGTCACCCAGAGACATGCATAGGCATTCAAATATAGTGCCTTAAAACACGCAATAAAACAACACTTTTAATATCTACTATTGCTCAATGTATAATATATCATAAACACATTTAACGTCTTTGAACATGTTGGTCAAGTTATTAATGTTAATGCACTTATAACACTGTGACAAGCACACTCCTTTTGTCCACCATTTTATTCACACACTACTCTCGACAAAGTTATCTTCAAAAGAGTAAGAGTGAATGTACAGGGGAGGTAATAACTGAATTGAGCATGGTAAGGATTATCTCCCTTATCTCATTATAGTCTATTAACATTAATTACAATCTATCTTTTTAGTGACAGAAATTATTCTTAAAACGTTGATGATTGAAGAAAACATATGTTAAAGTGTAGCTTTAGTGCATGTGCTCGGTCTAAAAATAAAAAGGTTTTGTCATGAGAAAATGAAATTTACAGAGAAATTCGGGAAAAAAAGTGAATAACGAAGTTATCGCTGATTTTTTGAAAATCACACCTGAATGCAAACCGACAAATTCCGATTTTATTTCTTGGACCGGAAGTGACGTAAGAACGGTGACCCGCCAGAGACAGTGGACATATTGAAGCGATATTTTATAGCGACATGATGAAGATAATTACCAAAGAAAACACCGGGATCACGTTATGGTTGACGTTGCGTGGCAGGCGGATGTTCGAACACTAACGCTAATGGTGTTTCTCTGCATAATTTCCCGACAAAGAGGCCTGATATCCATCGTCAATGGGTGGCATTTGTCAGAAGAAAACGGAAAGACTGGGAGCCTACTCGACACTTCGTGTTGTGCAGCGCTCATTTCCAAGAGGATTGTTATCCCCTGAAATTCCGTTTGGGACTGCTTGAGTCAAGTGGGAAAACAAGAAAACGCTGAACGAAAATGCAGTGACCACTATATACCCTACATGTTTGACAGCAACTACGCCACAACCTGGTAAACGAGGATCTTTTGTTGATGATGTTACAACACCCAAATCTTCTGCCAAAAGGCCAAGGTCAGCATTCGTCAAACATGACATCCAACGAGTGAGTATTGTTGTGTGTTTACTTATTCTAACTGATATTACGTGTTGAAATTTCTATTCAAGAAAGAAAATTCCCTGTTGTGATTAGTAATTTAGTACTAAAATTATTTTTACTATAATAGATGATGATAGAATATGATGAAGCTGAGAATGAATCAGAAGATATAAATCAAGAAGGAGGATCAGACAAGGAATCAAGCATGGAGGTAAGATTTAATTTATTAGCTTAATAAAAGATAATATGTAATATGAATTTATCACATTTAATCCATAATTATATTTGCCGTAACAAATGATAGATAACAGTAACTATTCTTTTAATTTCAATTATCTGAATATTGTTTTAGTGCATTGTCATATCATTATGACAGCAATTATTTTTGGAAAAAAATACAGGTTTTGTTTTACTTTTTTGTCGCATTTAGATATATTCACTTGTTATGCATATATGTTATATGTTATTGATTTTTTCAGGTAACTGTCACATGCGAGGGGCCTAAAAAAAGTCAGTTGCTTCCCAGAAGAGTTTATCTCGACCGTCGCAAAGGTCTCATTATACACAGACAAAATTTAAAGGAAAGAATAAAGGTAATTGTATGATATTCATTTTCCTTTGACTGGATATTAACTGGATTAGGAGAACTTGTTATAAAATTTTCAATTTTTCCATTAAGTGAAATTAGTGTACATACCGTTCCAAAAGTTTCATCTGTATCATGCTACATGCAGTAATACAAGTGTAAATTTTATTTGTTTCAATTTGAAGAATGTCAGGTAAGCGGACCAAAAACTAGGGATATTGGTATCATGTGTGACAACATCCCCAGCCCACAACTACAGGGACAGCCTGTTACCACAGTACCCCTGCCTGACCCAAGTCCAGCCAGCAGTGATCCAGGATCAATTTTTTCTGAGAATTCTTGTAGTGACAAGGATTATGAAATAGAAAGTGACATGTCAGATGACAGTGAAGGGGAGGATGACAGGTATTCAATATATAATGCAACTTTTGTTATGTAATAGAGATGATGGTATATAATTTCATAAGTAAATGATCATGACCAGTCTTGCAATGATTATTGACAGGACAAAATGGCAAGTGAAATCAAAATATGTCCCAAATTTTTTTTATTTGAATAGGTTTTTTTGGTTTCAAGGAATATTTGAAATCCTATAATACACTTACGCATACGTATGGGATTATGAAAATGAAATAACAGATACTTTATTGAATGAGTGGTGAATCAATTTATAATCTATATTTCTTTTTTCAGACCTGAAATTAATCGAAGATTTCTTGTTGAGGAAGGGAAGCTCATGAAACTTTTCCACAAGTGTCCTCAATGTGCACAAGTAACCTGTGGACAAGTAGGACACATACGGGGGTCGTACATCAGTATTGAACAAGACTGGATTTTGTCAATATCACCGTGTGTGGACGAGCCAAAGTATGATTGGATCTGTACCGTCAGGGAATCTTGCCATCTCGTGTGCATTTCTGTATTCTGGATTACTTCCCACAAAAGTTCTAAGGTTTTTGGACTTCCTCAAAATGCCCAGTATATCATACAGTACATTCATGTCACACCAAAGATAACATCTCCAACCAGTAATTTTGAACATTTGGACAAGTCACCAGGATTTCTTTTTTGAGGAAAAAAGAACTGCTGGAAAGCCTGTATGTATAGGAGGAGAGATGGTCGAGCAGATACTCCTGGCCATTCTGCCAAGTATGGAAGCTACACAGTTATGGACTTAGACTATGGAAAGGTCATCGGTGTCCAACTTGTTCAGGTATGAGACTTAAAAATGCATGCTCCACCTAATTGTGTAATGAAAAATAGCAACTTGATTTATAGTAGATATACAGGTTTAATTCCATTGACCCAAGAATAAATTATGGTTATTTGGTCGTATGAAATGACATTTTGATGCCTGTGGTCATTTTGTCCCAGAAAGTAGGAGTATACAGCATGAATATTAATTGTATCCCTTTCATTCTTCCAGTATTATTTTATTTTTAATTGAATTTAATGTTATTGTTAACAACAGAGCAATGAAGTAAAGAGCTCCTGTCATATGGAGAAAGAGGGACTTATAAGGGCCATCCAGAAACTTCATCAGGAGCAGATCGATATTCAGACCATCATTACAGACAGGCATGTCCAGATAAAAAAATGGATCCGGGAGACAATGACAAGCACACGACATTGCTTCGATATTTGGCATGTAGCAAAAGGTAACACACAAAGAATTACAAACCATCTTTAAGGCAAATGTGAAGATTTATATTTTATTGATTCAAACTGTAGTTTCCACTTGTAACTTAACAGTTCCATAACTTCCTTAAAAACGTTTTTTTTTAAAGTGAAGTGGATTAAATCCCATATCTATGACTTATACTCGGACGTTAACAGAACAAACTCAATGTGTACAAAATAATTATGGTAATCCTTGCAGTACTTTCCAGCCATAAGTAGTTGAATTATGTATTGATTATGGCCAAACATTTTTTTGTTTGCTTTATAAATCTATAAATTTTGCAGGTTTAAAGAAGAAATTGGTTGCTCTTTCAAAGGAGAAGGAGTGCGACAACCTGCAGAGATGGATAAAAAGCATCACCAACCATCTTTACTGGGTTGCATCATCAACACCGGATGGCAATGGGGATATGATGTTGCAGAAATGGGAAAGCATTGTGAACCATATCAAGAATATTCATCATGGACATGGAACCCTTTTCCCAGTCTGCACTCATGAACCTCTTGATCCCTCTTACAGTAAGAAAAAATGGCTCAAACCAGGTACATGTTTTGTATACAAACTGGGACCTGGAGGCAGACATTCAATTTTGTACTGTTATAAGTTAAAATTACGGAGGGGAATTAATTTTCACTTTTCAGTGGGGCATTGGCCCAACCATGCTGGGTTTGTCTATAATTTGCATGACTACTAAACATTACAGTACTGGTTGGCAAAATATAACTTTATTATAATCTTTAGGAGATAGATTGTGGTACGCAATTGGAGGTGGATTAATAAAATAATGCAAGTATTATTTTTTAAGATTTTTGTTTATTCCAAGCACGAAGGTTTGTGGAAAATTAGAGATGATTCTCACTTCTACATATATGAAGAGAGACATCCCTATGCTATCCACTGGTCAGCAGACTTCATGCCTGGAGGCGTATCACTCTGTGATAAATCATTTTGCGCCCAAAATAATTGGCTTGTCCTACCATGGAATGCAGAGTCGGTAAGTTTCTTGTATCATGTACACATAACATAAATAAATAAAAACAAAAACCTCTGAAAGGCTTGCTTGAGATGAACTGCTAAATTTATATGGCCTCGGCATATTTTCATAGACATAGCTAACATTCAAGGTCACATTGGTAGACCAGAAAATTGTCCAACATTCATAGTCACATTGAGTAATTAATTGCTTTCAAGGTCATGTTGACTTGCGTTGGAGATCACATTCACCAGAAATGATTTGAAGAGGCAAATTTCCACCTTGTAAGTCAATTTGGAAACATCTTATTGCATCACATTGACTGGTTAGGCTATTTTTTCTTCTAAATCTTGTATTTGTATGTATTTTTACAGTTTGTTACTGGCAGCCTTGCACTTTAATGAGAATGTGGGAAGGGCACAGGCCTTATTTCCTAATGGTGACAAACGATTTAGCATCATATTCCCCAAACAGAAAAATGGTGATTTCACAGTGAGACAAGTGAAGACGCAATGTACCTTCAGTAAGTTGCGACAACATTTATGCCTATTACTAGTTTAGTTGTTGTGTAATTATTTTAATACATTTGATATTCCAGTGTATGTACCAAAAGTGATATTGTGTTTTTGCAACTTCTTGAAAATAATCAAGCAACATTGTGTCACTGTGAACCTGAATTGCATTACTACTTTATTTGCAGACTATGTGGAAGATTTGATTAGTGCTACCATTGCACATGTTCAGTGTGTCCAGATGCCATACTGCAAGATCAATGGAGAGGCACCACCACCTCTATGTCAGAATTTTGTACATCCGGAGAAGTCGTAAGCTGTAACTGAACTACTGTCTCGTTTTTGTCACCATTGAAGAAATTGGACTCTGATACAAACACAATCATTCCCTTCATGCAGGCAGCAATATAAAAACTAACAACAACAATGAACTGATAGAACATTTTTATTACTCTCAATAAGACTCAACTTCTGTGATGCATGCTCATTAAATCCACAACAGTATTGTTGAGAAAGCAGTTTGTATTTCTTTTATCATTTATTCAAAATGAAATCCATTATATTGTCCATCAGGTGCAGGGAAAGTGTTTCTAATTGAAGACACGGCACAAGCTGGAAGTGTCACACGCACATGTCGACCAAGCCAACCCCAGCACCATCTCACAAATTGTCTGTAGGCAATGTATCTATTTTTCCTGGAAAAAATAAAATCATAAATAAAATAGTAAGTGCATAATTCTCTAGTTGAATTTCAATGGTGCATAGATGAACCTACTTGAAACTGGAATAGAATTTTAAAATATATTGTAAATATTTGAGGATCCATTTACAAATTGATATTATATCCTACATAAATCATGTTGATAACTTCAATAAAAATTAGTGTGAACATACATCATATTACTAGAAGGAATTATGAAATTAATTGCACTTAAAAACACATACTTGTTCTGATTATCTGGCAATGGACCATGATACTGGCGAAAAGTCAGGTATGCTGTCTCAAGGACATATACGTTTAAACAAATGACTTCAAAGCCAGGATGATCTGTGATGCATGCCAATCTGTTGGGGTGTTTGCTCATCAAGGTCTGGACCTCCTCTATCTCCTGACAACAAATACTTTCTGTCTCGGTGGACATTTTCTGGCAATGTCCACATCTACACCTGAAATATGAGAATGGATGAATTTGATAAACTATCTAGTAAAATCTGAAGCCTATCACATCATGGTGTTTTCACAGCTTAGCCCTTGTGAATCTACTAATAACATTCTGCTCTACCATAAAAAATGAAGAAAATTTTAATAAGATAATTATTCACTGACAGACATTTTGTCGTGAAGACTTTCCAAATTAAAGAACAGAAAAATCGAAGAAAATTCCATCATACAATTATTAATTTGCGGTATTAAGGCGGTTGGTAAGATTAGAAAAACATCATTAAAATTAGTAATATTTTATGAAGAGAGTCATGAATAAATCTCCATAGTTCTGAAGAGTTTGTCGAATGATGGATTCATTAAATGGTTTTAACCCGATAATAGAAACTTACCATTTGTTGCCTCCAAGCCGTAATGTCAGAACATCGGGGTCGGCCTCCGAATTCTCATCAGAGCTGGAATCTGTCTCTGGCTCAAACATATGTGGTTGTGTTGCACCACTATATGCTGTTTCATCTATCTCCAACCCAGATGATCCATCGGACATCAGTAAATCGACGGAATCGTCATCGCTAACGGAACGGAGAGAGGAGCTATCTTCAATATTCACCATCTTGTATAATTTGTGTGTTCCATTTGTGACGTCATCAATAGATGAGCACAACTTTTCTTAACGCGCGGCAATGCTTGATTAAGATTTCGGCGTACAGGTAAAAAGCTCTATTTTAACCCACCATAACATCGTAACCACACGACCGATTTCCAAGCAATTTTCGATAAAATGATCATTCAGACACGGGTTTTGTTCTGCTTACAAAAAAAAATTACACTAAAGTTACACTTTAAAAAAAAAAACACAAAAAAAAATTAACTTGACAGTTCCATTATTAAAAGTTCAATTGGTATGAACAATGTATACAGATATATATTCATAAAGTGACCATCATTGGGTTAGACTATCCTCCAGTCACAGGGATTATTATGCCCCTCTCAAGCACAGCACACTAAACAAATTCCTCTGGCAGTTTTCCTCTTTGAAGCACGTCCAACAGTTCAATTCCTGAGGCTCTTCGCTTTGTCAAAGAATTGGCTAGCTGTATCCTTCCAGGACACCATTTGACTTCAACACAGTTATCAAGTTTCATTTCCAGGATAGCAGCAATATCTATTCTTAGTCGTTTGGCATCTACAAGTTTTGTAGACTGTAAAGCTTCAATCACGCTTTTGTTGTCTATGAAGGCTGTAATAGTTATGTTGTGCTCCTCAATCCCACAAATGTTTTCTACTACTTTTCCGAAGTACACCGCCGATTCAAGTCCTTCCTCCAAACTCAACGCTTCAGCAGCTATAGTAGATCGCACTACTCTCTTGATTTTGTTAGATTTCCAGTATATTGGACAGCAGTTTCCAAGCCGATCTTTAATCCACAGAATGTGCGCTCCAGTACTACCTTTGCCATTGTTGATGTTCCCTAATGCAGCATCGGTGAAAATTTCCCAGTCCTATATCAGATGTCCTTGTAGGGGTGGGTACAACTGAATAGGTCTTATATCCTTCAACTTCCCTATGGCTTTGATTGCTCTCAACAAATCACTAACCAATGCTTTGGAAAGTTTAGTACTTTGATCAACTAGTTCAAACGCCATATCCGGTCGTGATCCTTGCACTGCCCAGTTCAACTGACCGACTAACTTACGAAATTGAGATTGCTCACTGTCAGTAAGCTGACATTGTTTTTGAGATGCACGACCAGGGTCAGTATGCGAGTGATCCAGTTTATCCACATACTCTGAGTGATCAAGCATGATTCCATCTTTGTTTTGCTTAATATGGAAACCTATGTACCTGAAACTCCCTTCCTCTACTCTCCCTGCTAGAAATCGCTCCCTAAGCCTGTGTATCATTTCCTCCAATGCCTCATCACCAGCGTGAAGAAAGTCATCAACATGACAACATATTCCAACAAGGATTCCATCTTTCATCAAAGTGAAAACTGCAGGGTCAAGTTTCAACTGTTTGAAACCTAGTTTTGTAAGTTCATCTTTCACACTCAAAAAGAACTGTCTTGCACCATCTTTCAGCCCATATAGGCCATGTTTGAGCTTCCAAAGATAGCCTTCATGTGTATCACTTTCTATAGGTGGTTTTATATACACATCACGATCTAATTCTTTTCCTTGTAGAAATGCTGATTTGATGTCTGTGGTTTTGACATTCCAGTTTCTGCTAGATGCTACTGTAAGGAAAATTCTCATAACCCCTTTTCCAACAGTGGGGCTATCCTTCGGTATAAATGAATGTTCTTCAAACCCTCTACACTGTCTTTACTTGTAATCATCGACCTTGTAGAAATTTTGTTTTGTCCATTATCTTCCACTTCATATGTATCAAACTGACGCAGTTTCTGTAATTCTCCTTGTTTTGCTATCTCACTATCAGGACTACAGTCATCAGTTGTAGCATTTACTTCCACTTGACCTTTGTTCAAAGTTTTCCATTCTACATGGCCTAAATCAACACTTTTCATTTCATTACTGACATCATCTTTTACATTATACCAATTTTTGTTCCTTCCTGTAGTCTTGCCTGCTCTGCTCACTACTGTAGCATTTGTCCATTTTTCAAATTCTGGTAACTTGTATTAAATATGCTGATTCACCTTGATATGCCCTTCATTCTGGGGGAAGGTTATTTCAATGTCACCATTCTTCTCACAGTTTTCTGACGTGCCTTGACCAGTAATTGTTTCTGAAATATCCGGTGCAGACTTGGGAGTGTCGTTCTGACTGACAGGATCATTATTTTCCTTTGTGATATGTTATCCATGTGTATTGTTATCTTTGATAGATCCAGTGACTTTACACAATCTGTTTGGTGACACCCTGACAAATACGCTGTCATGCCTCACAAACACCACATCCTGAAATACCACTTTTCCAGGACCAAGCCAACGATCCTTTCCTTCCCTCTTATAGAAAACTCCATCACCATTCTCATACAACTGTTCAGCTGCTCTCACCTTTGATCGTAATGCCCGCCTTATCCTTTCATCAGCCTCTGTTTGTATGTATGCCTTTCATGTCTGAAGTAAAGCATTCCAAAGCCGGTGGTTCAGCTTGCAATTACGTTGGGTAGATTAGGATTCTTTCCAAATACTAGCTGATGACTGCTGAATCCATTCCACATTTGTAAGGAGTTCTTTGCTTTGCCCAAGACAATAGTGTTTCAGGTTCTACTTTGGGGTTTTCTGCATCTAGTTTCACTAACATCATATCAGTGACAGCATGTACACGTTCACAAAGGCCATTCTGGAATGGGCTCATTCCTGATGTGGTACACACCCGTACATTCAAGATTGATGTGACTTTACGTATTTCATCTGAGTTGAACTCTCCTCCATTATCAGTCATCAGTGCCCCCATGACTCCAAAGACCCCCACCCAGTTCTTCATCAAGGCATCAATCACATTGCAAGGTTTCTTGTGAGTGATGGAAACAGACACTGTGTATCTTGACCACATGTCAATTATATGGAGTATCCATTGGTCTTTGTAGTGTTTGAGATCCATTGCCACCTTTTCATTGAATTCTCGAGCCATTGGTAATGCTTCAACTGGTCGCGGTGGAGTCTTGGCATAAATCTTACAGAGTTCACATTCTGTTTCAATCTGAGATAGGTCGTCATCATAGTCTTCTTTTCATGCCCTAGCATCTTTTAATAATGCCACAAGCCTTTTCTTAAGGGGGATGTGCAAACTGTCTGTGAAGTTTTAACAAATTAGCCTTGCGTTTTTTAGGTCCAAGTACATCAACTTTCACAACATTTACATCCTCAACAGGAAGTGTTTCTGTTTTGTCAATAGGGATGCAGTAATGGCCAGATGATGTAAGATTCAGGTTTACTTCTTTCCCCATAATCACAGCTGTGTCATTTTCCAAATCCATTTTTACCCCTGCCTTTTTCATTGCTGACCTGGACAGCAACAGAGGAATGTCAGAGTCCACCACATCTGTTCTAACGGTCACATGTTTACCAACATGCACACAGGAATATCAAATTCGCCATCTGATTTTAGTCTTGTTCCTCCACCAAATTTGAATACTCTGTGTCCCTCCTTACTAGTTACTCTACCAAGGTCACCCCTGTTAAGGGAATCCAGGTAAGTTTGTAACCATGTCTTCCCACACACTGTACTATTACATGCACTGTCTAACACTGCACAGTTACGAGCATCAGCACCAAGTTGTATTATGTCCTCCTTATGGTAGCCAGTGAACAGTACAGCATGCTCCTCTTCTTCAGCTATGTTTACTTTCGCCATGTTTTCCCAGCTGTCTGGACACTTTGCGACAAGATGCCTATATGATCCACACGACCTACATATAAGAACTTTTCCGTCGGGCCCTGTTGGGTTCATATTCTTTACCCCACGTTGAGATGATGTAAAACCTGAACCTCTCCCTCTGTTTGGACGTCCACCCCTTCCGTTTCTAAAGTTCCCATGCTTCACATAACCCGCTGCCAGTAATGCTTCTTCATGGTCAGCCAAATAAGCTGGTTCAAGTTTAATGCTTGGTGTGTCACTCTTTGAAGAATTACTTTTTCAATGACCTTTTGGCTTTCTCATACAGGGTGTCACGGTTTTCATAATTCATACCAGTCAAAACAAGCATTTTTTCTTCTTTGGTAATGTTTGCTTTCCTCAGTAATTTGAATACCACTATTTCTGATGGTAATTTCATGTTCTTCTTTTCGATTCTCCTGTACTTGCAGTCAAAATTTGCTATAAAGTCATTAATAGACTGACCTACAGCTCTGGCAAGATCTTCAAAATCTTCAAATTTTTTCAAACTGTCAGCAAGATCATCCTTGGCTAGATGTTTATCAAGGAAATCTACTAAAGTTTTAAAACCTGTCTTTTTCTTCAAATTATCAAGAGTTATTTGATCAAACTTTTTCACGGATTCTATGTTCATCATCTTCTGGCAGAGTCAAAGCAATAGCCACACCTCTCTTAGCTTAGGCTAGTTCTGTTATTTCATTCCAAGCTAATAGTTCCTATTTGAAAGGTTCATAGGATTTACCTTTGTGGAAGGTAGGTGGATTCACCTTTGTTGCCATAATGTCTCCTTTCACTGAAATTCACTGTACAAGCAAAAAAAAACCTGCTGGAATTGTTCACTGTAATGTTAACACAAAGTCTCCTCCAAACAATTGTCACAGTACGCTCTGCTACCACTGTTAATGCACTTACAACATTGTGACAAGCACACTCCTTTTGTCCACCATTTTATTCACACACTTCTCTCGACAAAGTTATCTTCAAAAGAGTAAGAGTGAATGTACAGGGGAGGTAATAACTGAATTGAACATGGTAAAGATTATCTTCCTTATCTCATTATAGTAGATTAACAATTAATACTTATTTACTGTCAATAGTAATAATGATAATAGTATTTATTTATACTTGATAACAGAATGAGTCAAAGACTCGTCTACCTTCTGGTCAAGTATACATAAAATGTACAATAATTACAAAATGTACATAAAACAGAGAAACATTTAAGAAAACAGGGGGAAAAAAGTGCATCAGTTAAAGAATCCACAGCAAA